TTGGCTAACATTCAGAAGAAAAAAGAAGAGGAAAAGGTGAGGTGTCCACTACATGTTGTGTTGCTTTTGGATTATGATTGGCATAGAAGTTATTTAATAGTGCTTTGTTATGCTGGGCAGGCCTTGAAGGAGCTTAAAGCCAAGGCTCAGCAGAAGGGATCATTTGGTGGTTCTGGGCTCAAGAAAAGTGGGAAGAAATGAGGAGAGGGTCATAGACCCAACTCAAAACAAATCTAAATTTCTTGTGTTATGGATTACAAAACACTCTTACGTTATAGCTTGTGATTGCCATGGTGCATACTAAATTTAGTACTGAACCGTATGCAGATGTTCCTATGAAACGTTATTAAATTGTGTTCTACTTGTGTTCCTCTTGCATGTAAAATGTGTGCCAGTGTTGGGATTGTTTCAGACTTACTTATGGAATGATAGAAGTGGTTGCTGTGGTGCATACTAAATGAGTACTCAACCAGTTAATNGTTCCTATGAAACGTTATTAAATTGTGTTCTACTTGTGTTCCTCTTGCATGTAAAATTTGTGCCAGTGTTGGGATTGTTTCAGACTTACTTATGGAATGATAGAAGTGGTTGCTATGGTGCATACTAAATGAGTACTCAACCAGTTAATTGTATCCAGACAGATGTTGCTTGTGTTCAAAATTCGAAATGTTTCCTCACTACAACCCTGGATGTAAGGAATCACTACAGAGTTTTAATGCATATACAATGTCGAGTTTTCGGCCATTAGCATTGTGCGTTCGCGGGGGATCCTCATGCTAATGGCAATGATGAATTNATCACTACAGAGTTTTAATGCATATACAATGTCGAGTTTTCGGCCATTAGCATTGTGAGTTCGCGGGGGATCCTCATGCTAATGGCAATGATGAATTCAACACCTTAAGGTCATGGCAATGATGAATACAACACCTTAAGGCCATAATGTGACGGTACCGTAGAAAATACTAAAGATTAACCTATGAACATGTAAAAGACAGAAAACTACAACCACGTTAACAGGGATCCATATGTGTCAAAATACTACTATTTCAGCTGCTGCATTGCACATTCGTTCAATGTGACCCTGAAATTTAGGGATGCAAGTAAATTGTTCAAGTCCTCGTGTATATTAATAAGTGAATATCAGAATACCAATAGAGAACAAAAATTGAGGTCAGTATGATAAGATCATGACATCCAACCCATTCCCTTATAATTTGGTGGGCTGGGGGAGGAGGAACAAATGATGAGAGGAGGGAGGGGGTTTGGGTTCATATTGGCTCCAAGCTTTCAATCAAAATCAATCACTAACGATGTGATNGTATATTAATAAGTGAATATCAGAATACCAATAGAGAACAAAAATTGAGGTCAGTATAATAAGATCATGACATCCAACCCATTCCCTTATAATTTGGTGGGCTGGGGGAGGAGGAACGAATGATGAGAGGAGGGAGGGGGTTTGGGTTCATATTGGCTCCAAGCTTTCAATCAAAATCAATCACTAATGATGTGAGTCAAATCATAAATCAATGAATCTGACCATAAATTCCTAAAAAAAAAAAATCCGCAAAGACCACAAGAAAAGTTCATACCGATAGCTAGACATTGCAGATTACTTTAATTTATACTTTACCATTTAAGTTTGACAAAAAGTAGATGACAACAAAAAAGTTCCAAGAATCTTCCTTAGAATCGTCTCCCCATTTACACTTNAATCTGACCATAAATTCCTAAAAAAAAAAATCCGCAAAGACCACAAGAAAAGTTCATACCGATAGCTAGACATTGCAGATTACTTTAATTTATACTTTACCATTTAAGTTTGACAACAAGTAGATGACAACAAAAAAGTTCCAAGAATCTTCCTTAGAATCGTCTCCCCATTTACACTTAGAGGATAAATTAATACTACTGACTTTCTGGCTTATCCGGATTTTCCTTTTCAGGGTCTTCCTCCTCTTCCTCTTTATTTTCTTCCTCCTCCTCATCTTCTTCAGGAGGATCAGCTGGAAGAGGTGGTGGTAATGGTGTTTTCATGGGGCTGAATTGGGGGAAGATGTCTGGTCGGCGCCCAGGCTTTGGTCTTTCCCACTCCTGCCATGGAAAGTAAGTGCATGAATAGGGAGTATAACATATTCAGTATTTGGAAATTTTGCAATATCAATATTATGTGCAAAATGCANCCTCCTCATCTTCTTCAGGAGGATCAGCTGGAAGAGGTGGTGGTAATGGTGTTTTCATGGGGCTGAATTGGGGGAAGATGTCTGGTCGGCGCCCAGGCTTTGGTCTTTCCCACTCCTGCCATGGAAAGCAAGTGCATGAATAGGGAGTATAACATATTCAGTATTTGGAAATTTTGCAATATCAATATTATGTGCAAAATGCAATAGATGTAGACATTGCATGGTTCAAGACCGCTTCTTTTCATGATCAAGAAGACAAAAACAATTCACTGGATCAACAGGAGAGAGAGAGAGAGAGAGAGAGAAATGTTTTAACCACAACTTCAGCAGAGATGCAAGGACAATAGGACAAAGGTATGTACTGTAACAGCTGAGGATAAAGTTCTAAAGGCATCATTGCATAATAGAGTAAGAGAGACACCACAGGTTACACTGCTGGGGAGAGGAGGAAGTAGAGGAGGAAGGGGAGGAAAAGAGGGGGGTAGCAAGTGATTAAATGCAGGAGAGTTGTCCACCCACATCTCCTAGCAACATCTCACCAAACAGTATTTGTTCAATCACTAATGAAAAAAGACACGGTGGCAATAGAGCATACTGCTACAAGATCACATAGTGGATTGCACAAGGTACATTTGAAGAATGGCTTTTGAAAAAGCATTAGAAAAGCTACTAAGTAGTATTTTGGCAATCTCTTACATTCTGTGGCATGAGACAACTGCCCAGAAAGTCATCTCCACACCACATGCGAGCGAATATAGTTTATTAAGTGTGGAAAACAGAATGAAAAGCTTTAGAAAGTCATAAGGTCGATCTAATAATCTGCTTAAATAGATGGATCTCATATCGTCCTTTATCTCTGTTGGAAATTATAAAATCCAAGATCTGCAAACAGTCCAGCATGTGGGAAGTATAAGGAGAAGCATTTTCACCATTTTTTTGATTTTTTCCGTTAGTAGGCATACAGCTTGACAAAGGCAAAGTATAACAATGGTATTTGTTTATAGTTCATGTATATTTTGCCTTCACACCATTCTTACCCAGTAAGAAGATCAGAACATACAATCGCAAGCCATTCGTGTTTAGTTTGCGACTATTGAACAACCCACAAATAATGGATCCATGCAAATGCAGAATTTCCAGCAAAGTTCACCATAAACAGAAACTTGATGCACACATTATGTATGCCCCATGACAAGTGTAGTACAACCCCGGCAATATATGAATCCAAAGAATCCAAGTTATTGTTCTCAACGAGAAGTAAAAATTCGTAGGCAATGTTTTCTGTACGATGACGATGTCCATATTATAGAAATAACAAACTGGTGTTCTATTTGGAAAACTCGATATGTAGGAGAAAATTAAAACTGCGCTGTATTTTTTTTCCCAGTAGTACCTGCGTTGTATTATCAAGAGTGGATTTCTTCGAAATTTTGCACTTAATTGTTTCTTTTCCTATTGCATTCTTCCTTTTCACTGAAAATTCATACCATGCTCAGCAATCAACAGTAACCAAATTCAGACACGGTTAATTACTTACGGAACTTGAACACCTAAACCCTACTGCTACAATAACAACTTAATTGAACTTTTTCTTCATTTCCTCGGCAAACAGACACAATAGAATAATCAAAAACATTGAACCAAAAGTTAAGCCACAAAGGGAATTCAACGAAAGCGCACAGAGAGAGAGAAAAGGAAAAGTAGTGGAAAGGGATGGGCTTACGATAGGGAAATCGAGGGGGGAACGGCGAGTCATCTTCTCTTCTTCGGGAGCCATACGAACTACCTGTGAATTCCGACGGAGGCTGGGTGTAATTGATATTCGTGGGAAAGTGAGAGACGGCATAAGGAAGAGAGATTCTGGTCGCACAATAGTTTGGCGGACACGGTTGCTCCTGCTCGACGAAGACGTCGATGAAGATGAAGGGCACAGCAACAAGGCCGTGGAAGTTGAAGAAGTTAGAGACAGTGAGATGGACAGAAACGCCATCGCCGCCGCTTGCTTGTCGGTTGTTCCGCCTTCCACAACCACCACCACCACCCAATATAGTCTTTTAACCCTTCACCAACCACCTGGAGTCCAGAACTCAGACGGGTCGAGAGGTCGTAGCACTCACGCATCGGGAAAACATATGCAGGCGGCCCAGCCCAAGACCAAGAAGGTACGGCCTTATCTAATTGTGTCATGTGACCCATGAGCCCAAGACTGAGAAGGTGCGGTCTTATCGAATTGGGACATGTGGCCCATGATTTTCATGACAAATTGGGCTCAGGTTCCATTGGAGCCCAAGCAATGGAACAAGAGTCCAAAGAAGCATCCAATGCACCCGCATGATTTATTGGTCACTCACTACATGTTTTATAATTGTTATTTTCCCATATNTGTTGGAAATTATAAAATCCAAGATCTGCAAACAGTCCAGCATGTGGGAAGTATAAAGAGAAGCATTTTCACCATTATTTTGATTTTTTCCGTTAGTAGGCATACAGCTTGACAAAGGCAAAGTATAACAATGGTATTTGTTTACAGTTCATGTATATTTTGCCTTCACACCATTCTTACCCAGTAAGAAGATCAGAACATAAAATCGCAAGCCATTCGTGTTTAGTTTGCGACTATTGAACAACCCACAAATAATGGATCCATGCAAATGCAGAATTTCCAGCAAAGTTCACCATAAACAGAAACTTGATGCACACATTATGTATGCCCCATGACAAGTGTAGTACAACCCCGGCAATATATGAATCCAAAGAATCCAAGTTATTGTTCTCAACGAGAAGTAAAAATTCGTAGGCAATGTTTTCTGTACGATGACGATGTCCATATTATAGAAATAACAAACTGGTGTTCTATTTGGAAAACTCGATATGTAGGAGAAAATTAAAACTGCGCTGTATTTTTTTTCCCAGTAGTACCTGCGTTGTATTATCAAGAGTGGATTTCTTCGAAATTTTGCACTTAATTGTTTCTTTTCCTATTGCATTCTTCCTTTTCACTGAAAATTCATACCATGCTCAGCAATCAACAGTAACCAAATTCAGACACGGTTAATTACTTACGGAACTTGAACACCTAAACCCTACTGCTACAATAACAACTTAATTGAACTTTTTCTTCATTTCCTCGGCAAACAGACACAATAGAATAATCAAAAACATTGAACCAAAAGTTAAGCCACAAAGGGAATTCAACGAAAGCGCACAGAGAGAGAGAAAAGGAAAAGTAGTGGAAAGGGATGGGCTTACGATAGGGAAATCGAGGGGGGAACGGCGAGTCATCTTCTCTTCTTCGGGAGCCATACGAACTACCTGTGAATTCCGACGGAGGCTGGGTGCAATTGATATTCGTGGGAAAGTGAGAGACGGCATAAGGAAGAGAGATTCTGGTCGCACAATAGTTTGGCGGACACGGTTGCTCCTGCTCGACGAAGACGTCGATGAAGATGAAGGGCACAGCAACAAGGCGGTGGAAGTTGAAGAAGTTAGAGACAGTGAGATGGACAGAAACGCCATCGCCGCCGCTTGCTTGTCGGTTGTTCCGCCTTCCACCACCACCACCACCCAATATAGTCTTTTAACCCTTCACCAACCACCTGGAGTCCAGAACTCAGACGGGTCGAGAGGTCGTAGCACTCACGCATCGGGAAAACATATGTAGGCGGCCCAGCCCAAGACCAAGAAGGTACGGCCTTATCTAATTGTGTCATGTGACCCATGAGCCCAAGACTGAGAAGGTGCGGTCTTATAGAATTGGGACATGTGGCCCATGATTTTCATGACAAATTGGGCTCAGGTTCCATTGGAGCCCAAGCAATGGAACAAGAGTCCAAAGAAGCATCCAATGCACCCGCATGATTTATTGGTCACTCACTACATGTTTTATAATTGTTATTTTCCCATATAAATTTACACGATACCCGTGTAGAGATAGGCAAAAAGAGAAATATATGGAAGAGGGAAGAAGTTGAAATAAATAAATCTAGATGGTTAAATATGATTAGATATAAAAATGAAGTGGTTCAATGTAAAAAATTATAATTGGTTGTAAGTGGTCATTAGAAATATAAAAAGAATAGTAGCGATATTTTATGAGAAGATCTATAATAATAAAACATAACTAATTTCAAAATTTTCAACTTAGATAAATAAAAGGACGGTTTAGATAAGATTAAAGTTAATTGATTAAAAATTTAGATAATAATTTGAATCTTTCTTAATTTGAGTAAAAAAATGAATCTCTCTTAATTTAGTAGAAATTTTAGTCAAAGATTAGAATAAGTTTTTTAAGTTTTTTTACTTAAATTAAATTTGAGATTCTCTAATGCGTGCATCAATGCAATAACATTAATACCACATCACCACCCATCATATTTTTTTATTTAAAAGTGTAATTTAATTCTAGAAGTATTTAAAACATGGGCAAGGAGTCTAGTGTGTATGGCATTTTTTCAACATAGGCCACTAGAGTTCAGTTTCAAAAAAGAAGTTAGATGATGTCAAAGGTGTTACTGCCTAACAAAAACATATCACCATTAACAACAAAATCAAACGCACTAAAGTTAGAATCTTTCAACAACAATGGAATCTTAGTCACAGACGAAAATTCACAAGCACCCCTCTCCCTGTGGGACCCATTTCGGATGAATCCAAACAAACCCAAACCCATGATTGGTCAGACCCCTGTGGCTCGCGTCATTGGCGCACCCACTAGTTCACTGAAAGGAGTTTTTTTGGGGACCTGAAAAGTTGGGTATAACACTAGGCTCAAAGCACCCACTAGATATGTAGTGGTCCACGTGGCATTTTCCTTGTGCTTAGCGGGAAACAGGACGTTGGCCGTTTCCTCTCAGGCTCCATACCCAACCAAATTTGGTGGCTTCTGTTTCGGTTCCTTTCCAAGGTCATGCTCTCTGGAGCTCTCTATTAATCCTCTCTCTCTCTCTCCTCATCCTTGCTTGCACGGAAAAAACAAGTTGTGTCGAGTACAAAGAACAGAGAGAGAACCAAAGAAGGAAATCCGTGTTCATCCTAAATCTCTAGCCTTGTATGCTTTAATTTGTCTGTGTGTGTTTGTGTCACGGAGAGAGACATAGAGAGAGTTTTATGAGTTGATCTATGTCCATACAAGGAAAGAAAAGAGAGTTTTTGATTGATACTTCATCGTAGAGGCAGATATAGGAATTAGGGAAGGATGGATTTGATTCTGTGAAGAATATATAAATAGATTTCAGTTGATTACACTGGGGAATGATACAGANAATAAGTTTTTTAAGTTTTTTTACTTAAATTAAATTTGAGATTCTCTAATGCGTGCATCAATGCAATAACATTAATACCACATCACCACCCATCATATTTTTTTATTTAAAAGTGTAATTTAATTCTAGAAGTATTTAAAACATGGGCAAGGAGTCTAGTGTGTATGGCATTTTTTCAACATAGGCCACTAGAGTTCAGTTTCAAAAAAGAAGTTAGATGATGTCAAAGGTGTTACTGCCTAACAAAAACATATCACCATTAACAACAAAATCAAACGCACTAAAGTTAGAATCTTTCAACAACAATGGAATCTTAGTCACAGACGAAAATTCACAAGCACCCCCTTTCCCTGTGGGACCCATTTCGGATGAATCCAAACAAACCCAAATCCATGATTGGTCAGACCCCTGTGGCTCGCGTCATTGGCGCACCCACTAGTTCACTGAATGGAGTTTTTTTGGGGACCTGAATTGGGTTTAACACTAGGCTCAAAGCACCCACTAGATATGTAGTGGTCCACGTGGCATTTTCCTTGTGCTTAGCGGGAAACAGGACGTTGGCCGTTTCCTCTCAGGCTCCATACCCAACCAAATTTGGTGGCTTCTGTTTCGGTTCCTTTCCAAGGTCATGCTCTCTGGAGCTCTCTATTAATCCCCTCTCTCTCTCTCCTCATCCTTGCTTGCACGGAAAAAACAAGTTGTGTCGAGTACAAAGAACAGAGAGAGAACCAAAGAAGGAAATCCGTGATCATCCTAAATCTCTAGCCTTGTATGCTTTAATTTGTCTGTGTGTGTTTGTGTCACGGAGAGAGACATAGAGAGAGTTTTATGAGTTGATCTATGTCCATACAAGGAAAGAAAAGAGAGTTTTTGATTGATACTTCATCGTAGAGGCAGATATAGGAATTAGGGAAGGATGGATTTGATTCTGTGAAGAATATATAAATAGATTTCAGTTGATTACACTGGGGAATGATACAGAGACCAAGAGCAGATGGATTTTTGGCCGGAGTTTCTTGCAAGCAGCTGGGGAAAAGAATTTGTGGCCGGAGGATTTGGCGGCACAGCCGGCATCATAGCCGGTTATCCTCTTGATACCCTCAGGATCCGGCAACAGCAACCGACCAGTACTGATTCCGCCATCAGAATCCTTCGCAATGTTGTCTCCAGTGAGGGACCTCTTGCACTCTACAGAGGCATGGCTGCACCACTTGCCTCTGTCACTTTTCAGGTTTTTTTCATCTATGATCTTTCAAGCCCTCAATTTCAGTATTGTGGAAATGGTAGAAAAGATACCCAACTTGATATCAGGCTCCAAAAAAAAAAACAATCTAATGTACGAGACTCTCAGTTAATATTTAATCTTACCTTGTACACCTGACCACTTAATATAGGGCATTCACATAGATTAAATTCCATCAGACTATGCTGTTCAAAAATTATAGCATCGCATCAAAATGTTGCATAAGTAGATGCATATTGGTGTTTGTCTATGTCCTTGTGTGTGTGTGAGGGTCTGGTGCGTAGAGATTGAGAATATGCTGGAACTCTATGAAGCATGCAGTCTTGCAGTGTTGTATGATAAAAGAAATCATCAATTTCTCATTAGTCTTGCGGAATGGAAAGATACCTCATTTCTCATTACTGCAGTTTAAGCATCCAGGTGCTAAAGTTCTATTCAATTGTTTGAGCCATGATCACTTTCTCTGTTTGGTTCTGCAGAATGCCATGGCATTTCAGATTTATGCTGTCCTGTCACGGGTTTTTGACACATCAGTCCGCACAACAGACCCTCCTTCTTACAAAGGGGTTGCTCTGGGAGGAATTGGAACAGGGGCAATACAAAGCTTGATGCTCAGCCCTGTTGAACTAATTAAAATCCACCTCCAATTACAGAAGAAAACTCAAGCAAATAGTCTCAAAGGTCCAGTAAGTGTCGCCAGAAGCATATATAGGACAGAAGGTTGGAGGGGTATTTACCGAGGTTTTACAATCACTGTGCTCAGAGATGCACCTGCTCATGGCTTGTACTTCTGGACATACGAGTACATGAGAGAGCAACTTCACCCAGGATGCAGAAAAAGTGGCCAGGAGAGCTTCAGAACAATGCTTATTGCAGGAGGTTTAGCAGGAGTTGCAAGCTGGATTTGCTGTTATCCTTTGGATGTAATAAAGACCAGAATCCAGGCTCAGTCACAATATTCTCCATCAAATTATGGTGGCATTGTTGATTGCTTTAATCGGATTGTGCGAGAGGAGGGATATCATGTCCTGTGGCGCGGATTGGGAACCGCAGTTGCCAGAGCTTTTGTTGTCAATGGGGCTATTTTTACAGCTTATGAAACAGCTCTAAGGTGCCTATTCAACAACAGTCAAGCAACCAATCAATAGGAGAAATGCAGTATAGAAGAAGTTAGTCCCTTCCCATTGAAGTGGCTAACATAGCCCCCTATACCATATGGCAGTTGGTTATATCTTAAACACCACTTAAAAAATATGATTGGCTATTCGTTGTCATTACAGTTACAATTCCTGTGCCGAGACATCAGCAATCAGTGACAATGACTGAACAAAACATTGTAGACAAGAAGACTGGATTATTGGCTTTAATAAAAGATGGTCTCTTGATCTTTAAAATCCTAGCACCAACTGAACCCAAAGAGAGATGAACATATTGAGAGAATTAGATTTCTGGCACCTATTTCTGTTGTAATAGCATCGAAAACTATCAATGAATTGAATAGATAATGCTCAAAAAGTCTTGTTCATATCCATATGACTAGATATATCAGTTCACGTTCCTTACCAAATACATTGACAAATTTCTTTTCTCATTTCTTTTAATGCAGACAGACTCAGATTCACGCAAACCATACATCATACTCATTCCATGGTAAAGAGAACCAACAATTCAACAGAAAAACCCATTCTAGAAGAAAGGGTCCTTATGTGCATCATCTAGGCGGCTAGTGGAAAAGCTCCACTCCAATAATTTGAAACAAAACCCACATTAAATTCTAGATGACTGGCTTCTCGATATCACCATCTCACTTTCAGACACATCAACACTTGAGCAAAAGAAATCGCTGAAGATGATTAAGTAGGATTTTTGCGCAGATGAAACAAGTTATGCTTTGCTTAATTCATAGCTCATACGGCACATAGATTGAGTTAGTAAATCAGCATCATAAGAAAAAAGCTTTGTAATGTCTATTCCAACATCCCTTAGTCACAACCATGTTAAATAATTACCAAATGATTGAATAATCGTGTGAACACATTCATGAGTCATAATTTTCTTATGCATATGTGTAATTAGAACAATTAATCCCAAACATTTTGCCAAATCAATTTACTACGTCCTCCAGAAAGATAATATCAGATATATTCGTGTTAAAAGAACAACCTCAACAGAACAACCTCAATGCTGAAACAGGACATCTCTACTACAGTTATAGACTGGAAATTTAACAGATCATACAAATTAGAGTTGACAAAACTTCGATCAATTGGTACCTCCAGTACCAAACTGTTCGACCCTGTCCTCACTGAGATTAAGGCCCGCCATGGCATACTCCAACCCGCTGCTCATCTCCGCCAACGCATGTGGATCATTATAGTTTCTAACAGCCTGCACAATTGCATGAGCTCTCTTATAAGGATCCGAACTATTGAAATTTTCCGATCCAACAAACACTCCATCGCACCCCAATTGCATCATAATTGCCGCATCTGCTGGCGTCATAACCCCTCCCGCAGCAAAATGGACTACTGGAAGCCTACCCATTTGCTTGGTTTGAGCGACAAGATCGTAAGGCGCTGCTATCTTCTTCGAAAACGCAAACACTTCATCTTCATCCATGTTATTCAAAATCCTTATATCCGCCATTACTTTCCTCACATTGCGAACCGTCTCCACTATGTTGCCTGTACCCAATAGATCTCCTTGAGTCCTTATCATAGCGGCTCCTTCTCTCACTCTCCGCAAGGCCTCTCCAAGATCTCGACACCCACAAACGAATGGGACCCGTAAATTATGTTTATTGATGAAATGATCTTCATCAGCAATGGCAAGAAGCTCGCTCTCATCGACGTAATCAACACCGATGGCTTCGAGAATTTGGGATTCAACGAAATGCCCAACTCGGACTTTCGCCATTAAGGGAATTGAGACGGATCTTTTGATTTCTTTGATGAGAGCTGGATCCGGCATTCGCGAAATACCACCTTGGACTTGCTCTGTTACGACGATGCAGCAAGCTCCGGCAGACTCGGCGATCTTGGCTTGTTCGGCACTCGTGACTTCGACAATCGCTCCACCTCTGAGCATTTGGGCTAGACCGACCTTGCTTGAAAATAAGTTCTTCTTGGCGTCGGTGATGGCACTGCTGTTGTAGACTGTAACCGTACCTTCGTCAGCCATTGCCAATTGTTTGTGAAAATGCCTGAATGAAGTTGTGAGCTAAATGGATCAAAAGCTTGATATAAATGTGTTTGTTTGAGCTGGTTCAAGGCTTTGAATGTGTTTATATCATGTGAAGGAGAATATACAACGGACGTCGAAGCGATGGGAAGGTGTAGTGTTTGGGCAGTTCCAGAAGCTTCCGCGGGGCTACTCGATTGGTTCTGAATATCTCATAAAAGAAAAAGGAAAAAAGGATGCTTCTGTATTGGAAAGCGTAGAAAGTTCCGGAAATTAACAGTAATGAGGACGTAAGCTAACTATAAGTGGGAAGCATAGAGTTACATTAATCCAAACTTATACTAAATCTCATACACTTGAAATCATTGACGAAGAGCATCTCAATTTTTTATTTTAATTTGAATAAAAAATTTGATTTAGTACATACTACTCGAACAGAGAAACTCAAATATTTTAAAAAATTCTCATTTTATCCTGATAACTTATCAATAATTAAAAAAATTCACATATATTTTCAGTCAATTCATCAATTAAATCCAACTCTATCGAAACTCTTGATCCCAAATCTCTCGTTGCAATTCAGTTGGTGCTTGATTTGTTGTCGAAAACTGAAAATTTGTAAATTTGTTGCTAATGATAATAGAAATGTCGATAACTCTATCGAAGATATCAAAATATTAAAAATTAAGTGAAAGTGAAAAAAATACAAGATGAAAATATAAAATATAAAAGATTATTCGGAGATCTTCCAAGTCATTGCTGCTTTTGGCAAAAATAATGAACTAATATATGTCATTCTTTGACCAGCATGCAAACAAACCATGGTGACACCTCTACTTTCCTAATGGTCAATAAAAAAATTTAGTATCAAAAGTTAATACCCCACTTTGGTCGATGAGCTAATGAACTCCAAGAGAGGCTGCATATATCTCTCGAAATAGATTCCCAATCAAAAAGAGAGTTGTGGGGACTGGAGGAGGATTACACACTTCTTCTAGACGATGATATTGCACTAAAATATTAAGAATAATTTGTGTTTAAAAATATGGTATAATGTGAATAATTAAAAAAATAATCTATACAATCTTAAGCATATTTTAAAATAATAATAATAATAATAATAATAAAAAAAAAACATCAGAAACGGTGTGGATGATGTCATTAAATACTAGCTATTTTTAAGAATCATCCAGGTTCCTGCAAAAGTATTGAGTAGACCGTATGTAAATGAAACTCAAGCATCAAGGGTCATATTCCCAACCTGCGACCGGCCGACTGAATTATTACAGTGGGGCCATATCTGAACTTTAAAAAAATTAAATATTAATCTCCCATTTTTTTTAACGTGGAATTCCATATTTTTTCTCTATTTATTTGAGATTTATTTTTTGCTTCCGAATAAAATTAATAAATTACCAAATTTCCAGTTCGGTTATGATAATTATGTAATAAATTGACACATATGAAATAAAAAATAAAGATTAATCTCTTATATTTCTTTTCTTTTTTACATTGTATTATAAATATTTTTTCTATCAATTTGAGATTATTATTTTTTACTTCCTTTGAATTTATAACTCATTCACATTACAGCCTCATAAAAAAAAAAAAAAAAAAAGCTCTGTAATGTCTATTCCAACATCCCTTAGTCATAACCATGTTAAATAATTACCAAATGATTGAATAATTGTGTGAACCCATGCCCGAGTTGTAATTTTCTTATGCATATGTGTAGTTAGAACAATTAATCCCAAACACTTTGCCAAATCAATTTACAACGTCCTCCATAAAGATAATATCAGATATATTCGTGTTAAAAGAACAACCTCAACACTGAAATAAGACATCTCTACTACAGTAATAGACTGAAAATTTAACAAATCAATTTTTATCAATCAGTTAATCTTTCTTGTGATATAATTGATCTTAAATAAGATTTTATCAATTTTAATTTTAAAAAATTTCTTTTCGCAGAAGCAACTGTTACATGAATTGTTAATAATATTTTATAAACAATGCATAGATTTGGAAAAGAATCTAACTTTTTTATATAATTTAGTATATCAATTAGAGTATTTTCTTTCGTTTATAAAATTTCTTTTAAAACATTTAGTTCTAAAAATAAATCTAAGCCATCAATATCGAAAAAAATTTCATGTTTTAAGAAGCATTCGAGATCCAAACAATATTATTTTAAACTATCATTGGTCAATGATTTTAATTTTTCTAAGTTAAAGAAAAAATCAAAAATATTTTCGTACTTTTGTAATTGTTCAAATCTGTTTTTTAGTGAAGAAATAGCTTAATTAATTATATATGTAAAATAATCAATTCTAAATGATTGTTCAATAAATTGTGTTACCTCATCATCAACATTTTCATTAAATTATTTTTTTCTATAAACTCTACGTTTTTCACAAAATATAGGTTCTATACCCATTTCACATGCAATCTCTTTAGATGAAATCATAACATTTATAAATTCACTTTCCTTATATTTTTTGAAAAAAGAAATTAGACCTTTTAATGGATCTATAACAATATCAATATGCATGTCTTTTGATTGTAAATATTTACTAACAGTTGATGAAAAATAAAATATCATACCAAATAGTCATGCCCAATAAGAATTCAAAATTCTCAATCTCATATGTTGCTAAACAATTAGCTTCACTCCTTGTTTTAGGATCTTCACTAATTTCCGCTAATTGTAATAATGCATCTCTTATTTTTGGAGCTTGAAATCTTATTGTTTTAACACTTTNAATAATTTTCGCTAATTGTAATAATGCATCTCTTATTTTTGGAGCTTGAAATCTTATTGCTTTAACACTTTCAACACGATTTTTTCAACGTGTTTGTGATAATGACTTAAGAGTTAAACCTTAAATATTATTTTGTAAAATTTTTTATCGTTTTGTGGAAGAGGAAAATAATGAATATATACGTTGTACTATTCCAAAAAATGATATAACCTTAGGACAAGAGTTAGTCATATCACAAAGTACTAGATTTAAATTATGACAATCACATGGTGTGTAAAATGCTCTAGGATTTATATTGAGTAGCCTTTTTTGTACACCTTGATGTTTTCCTTTCATATTAGACTCATTATCATATTCTTGTCCTCGTACATCATTAATATATAGTTCAAGATTACTTATTACATCTATAAGTTTATCAAATAAACATTTTTCACTTGTATCATCTACTTTAATAAACTCTAAAAAATATTTTTCTATTTTTATTGGACTTATTGTAATATCTACGCATCGTAATATGAGAGACATTTGTTCTTGATGACTTGCATCGAGAGTATAATCAAGTATGATTAAATAATATTTTATGATTGAATAATATTTTACTTTTTTAACTTTTTAATAATATTGCTTACTTCATTTCCTAATAAACTTATCAATTCATTTTGTATGTTATGTCCAAGATAATGGTTATAAATTCTATCTTGTTGAATACCACGAACGTGTTCTTGCATTATCGGATCAAATTCTGCAATCATTTCAATTAAACTTAAAAAATTGTCATTATTTACTTGATATATCTTTTCATTTTTTTCCCGAAAAGCTAAATTATTTTTACCAAGATTCTTTATAACGACAATAATTTTTACTAATACATTTTGCCAATATTCTTTCTCTCTATTAATTTCTTCTTGAATACTTTTATCAATTGTTTTATTTAGTTGCAATCTTGTTTCTAATTCAATCCAAGTATTCAAATTAGTTATATGCTCATTAGTTATTTCATGATTTTTAAGCTCAACACAAATATTTTTCCAATCTTTTGTTCCTTCATTAGCTAGTTTACTTGTAGAATAATTCATATTGAATAACTTGATACAAAAATAAAATACTTTATCCCAATCTTTTGAATATACTAGCCATCTTCTATCAAGTGTTTTCCCATTTGTTAATTTGTGTATATAATGTGTAATAGAAAAATATCTAGAGTGTTCATCTCTAGAAAAATCTAAATTATTATATCTAATTGGATCATTTTCTACTAATAAATCTCTTAATTTCGTATCAATATTTTTTCATTGACTTGGATCATAAATATTTATATGACCATAATCATTTGTTTCATTAAGATTTTGATTGTCTTCTATTTCATTATCTTTTATTTCACTATTTACTTTTTTAATATTTTCTATTTCATTATCTACTATTTTATTATCTTTTATTTCAATATTTTCTACTTCAATATTTTTTATTTCATTATCTTATATTTTATTATCTTTTATTTCAATATTTTCTATTTCAATATTTTTTATTTTATTCTCTTCTATTTCATTATCTACTTGTTCATTTTCAAAATTTTCATCTAAATTTTTTGTTACATTATTTTTGTTACTAATAACAAATTTTTCAAGAGATCCTTTTTGAGATTCTATTAGGTGATCTATTTTTTTTTCTTTTTTTAATTTTTCGTATCCACTTGGTTGTTTTCCATGTGCCATATTATTAATATATTATAACTATAAAACAAACACAATATATAGTATAGTTAAAAATATATAACAAAAAAATTTAAAATTATAAAACAATAGAACCTGGCTTGAATGATCCCAAATGTTGGTTTTTTGGTTCTAAAGCATGTCCCTTATGTTGCAATAAAAACTCGAGTTGATGATGGAGGATGGAGTGGAGGCCGAGTCACCGTCACCGAGTCAATCACATGAGTGATCTGTGAGTTCTCCGTAGCTCTGTTGTAGCACTTGGCAAAAAAAAAAAAATGATCTGAGTAACAACTAACGAGTTCTGTGACTGTGAGTTCTCAAGTTTGAGAGCATTGTGAGTGAGAGAGAGAGTCAGATAGAGGGAAGAAGAAGAGTTAGAAAAAAAATTATTTATGCATAATTGGTTTGGTTGGGTTATTGAGAGAGATAGAGAATTATTTATGTATAGTTGATTTGATTGGTTTATCGAGAGAGAGAGAGAGAGAGAGTTAAAAAGTAGATATGATTTGACTTTTAGATTATTTTGGTGACTTTTGAAATGACCAATTAGTTTTTTTTTTTTTTTTTTGTATTGTTAAATTTTTTTAGATATTTAATGTTTGGATTGAGTTATGGGCCTAAAATTGTTGTTGGGCTTATATTTTTATAAGACTTTTTTTTACATGAGTTATTTACAATATTTAAAAATTTGGGGCCTTCCTTTGAAATGGGGCCTAAAGCCCAGGCTTTTTTACACTTGCTGTTGGGCCGACCCTGAGTCCTTATCATAGCGACTCCTTCTCTCATTCTCCGCAAGGCCTCTCTAAGATCTCGACACCCACAAACGAATGGAACCCGTAAATTATGTTTATTGATGAAATGATCTTC